AAACCACACAGACAAACACAGTAACCTAAAAATATCAATCCAAAGAGTTCAGAAGAAACTAGGTATGCCATGAATGCATAAAATATATGTGGATATGATTTTATTTTATCATTTGCTACTATAAATTCAAGGGCTAACAGATACGTTAACAAAATTAACAGACAATTGACACAACATTGTAAACTGACTGTACTTCAATAAAAGTATATATATACAATACAAAAAACCAAAACCAAACAAACAAAAAAAACCTGACAAATTGATGGAGATGAGTGCTTCCGAACCAGTGCCAGACGATAAGGAAATTATAGAAGAAACAGTGCCGCAAAACAGAAGCCGTCTGTTTACTCAAGACTGCTTTTGAGGGCTTTTGCAACATGGCTCCTTCTATGATACAGGCACTGAAACTAAAGCAAATAGAGAATGAAAGAGCAGAAAAGTCATATAGAAACTATGATGTATTTCCATAAAGTTACATGGAATGTGCCTGCCTCTCCTGCCTCCCCTTCCATGTCCTCTACCTCTGCCCCGCAAGACAGCAAGACCCACATCTCCTCGTCCTCCTCAGCTGACTCAGTGTGGAGACGTGAGGATGAACCTTTATGATGGTCCACCTCCATTTAATAATAAGTAAACACCATGCCATACAGTTAGTAAACTTCTCAGTTGTGAACGTGTGCGCGCACGCGCTCATGTGAAAAAGTAACTTTGTAGCAATAACTGTGCAGACATTTTTATGTTATCATCATCGTCCCTATGTGTTCATTATGAGAACACTGTGTGCAAGACTTGTTTTAAAGTGGAGAGCCTAATCCTTACACAGGTGGAAGGGGAGTGATATTTAATATAAACATAATGTGTTAGCTTTCGTACTGTTTTATAATTTAGCTTTCAAAGAATTACATTACCATACAGTATGTCTTTCTCTCTTGTAATTGGAAAAATTGCTTATCAGCCTATCATCACAGAGAAGTGATTTTTTTAAAAAATGTAAGTGTTCCCAATAGTGTATGATGAATATGACTGTAATGTAACACACCATGAACATTTTATAATGACTCATTTATTAGTGTACAGGCTAGGCTAATTATGAAGCAATCATATCTGTAACACCAGGCCACCATAAAGAATCATATTGCTGCTGCTTTGTTACCAATACATGAATTGTTACACCTGTAAATAAATATGAATTTTTTCACATTAAAAAAAATTGTCAGGATCAACTTTTTCAAAACTCTGGGAAATGTAAACCCTGGGGGGGTGGGGTAGGAATTTGGGTCCAGAGTGCCACTCTGTATTACTTTAAATGTCCGTTTTGAACGAAAAATTGTTGATACATACAAGACAAGAGAGCATGGCCCATATTAGAAAAAAGAAATCAACAGAAACTGTTCTTGAGGAAGTGCAGATATTGGACTTTTTAGACAAAAGTTTTAAATCAGTTATTTTAAATATATTTGAAGGCCACTAGGAAACAATGTCTAAAGAAATAAAGGAAAGCATGAGAATGATGTCTCTTTCAATAGAAAGTGTCAGGAAAGAAATAGAAATTATTGTTTTTTCAAAAAGAACCAAATGGAAATTCTGGAGTTGAAAGTACAATAACGGAAATGAAAAATTCACTAGAGGGGCTCAACAGCAGATCTGAGCAGGCAGAAGAAAGAATTCACAAACCTGGATATAGATCAATCGAGATGATCCAGTCCGTGAAACAGAAAGGAAAAAGAATACAGAAAAATGAACAGACGCTCAAAGACCTGTGAGACACCAACAAGCTCACACACATGCACAGGATGGGAACTCCTAAAGGAGAGAAGAGAGAGGGAGGGCAGAAAGAATATGGGAAGAAATAACAAAGGAACAAAGAGAGTATACTAGGAACTATTTAACACAGAAGAAGTTAGTAATGGAGAAACTGAAGAGCAAAAAATGATATAAGACAACACTAAGCAGCAAATGGCAGATGTAAATCCTGTCTTGTTAGTAATATAATGTAAATGGATTAGATGCTCCAATTTAAAGCCAGAGATTGGCAGAATGCACAAAAAACATGCTCTGACTGACTATATGCAGCTGACTATATGCTGTCTACAAAAACCACATTTTAGAACCACAAAGACACAAATAGGTTAAAAGTAAAAGAACAGGAAAACGAGACACCGTGCAAACAGTAACCAATAGCAAGACAGACCACATCTAGGTAATAAAACAACTCTCAAATTTAAAAGACCGAAGTAATACAAAGCATATTCTCTAACCACAATGGAATGCATTTAGGTAGGTCTCAGTAAATGCCGCATGGAATTTGATAAACATAAAATGCGTCCCTCCTAGTCTTCTTCCCTGACTAACCAGCCTTTCAAAACTCTCTGTCTGGAAGGACAGTTCTAAAAAGCATTCTGGCATGACAGGTCACCTCATCCACAAGAGCTTCGTCAGAGGGGATTCTACAGTTTCATTTCCTGGAAACTGCTCCCTCCCTCCCCTTGGGAGGCAGCATTTCATAGCAAGAAATGCTTCACTTCTGGAATCAGGTAGTCTGAATGCCAATAACCTTTTTTATTTTTTTTTTAAGGCAAGGTTTTTAGTTTCTCTAAGCCTCAGTTTTCTCATTGGTACCATGAGATAATTACACCTCAAAGATTTAATACGAGAATTAAATGAGATACTAAATCAATAAATAAATCTTAATTTCCTAGCTTCCTCCTCCTTCTGTCTTCCTCCTTCTCATGCAAATAACAACAGTGCAATATGAAAGAGAAGAAATGGGGTAAAGGGTCTTGGAGGAACAGAATTAGGGGAAGCAGAAATTAGGCTGTTGAGTAAAGCCATCCTGAGCTAGAATCCCAGTCCTACAGACACTCGTCTGTAAAATGGATCTAATGACTTCCGTCTGGCAGTGTTTACAAGGATTATAAGAGATGATAAGGATATATATGACTTGTCTAGCACCCAGTAGGTGCTCCATAAATAGTAGTGGTCACTATTAACAGTAGTTAAGACATTTTTACCGTTTTCTCCTTCTTGCTCCCCACCCTGTCCCCAAAGCAAACTCCAGCAAACTCCTCCCAAGACACTCTCTGCTCCCCATGGCCTCTCTTGAACACCTCTTGCCTACTGTATACCCACTTTTCCTGCACCCAGGCCAGAGTAGGGAGGGAAACAAAGCTATAATAAATCTAAACAATTTCGAGGAAGATGTTTAAGTTCCAAAATTGTATGTGTGTGTGTGTGCACATGCAAGTGTGTATGTATGTGTGTGAGAGGAAACCTCAGTTAAACTGGGATGTCTCCAAACCCTAGTAAAGTAAAAATGGGGGGTGGGGTGGGGGAAAGCATGTTATATCAGTGACATGTAAAGAAATCAGCATTTAAGCATGAGTGTGTTACCACGGGCTCCAGCCTGCAGAGACCCGATGCCCGGAGCCAGAACCAGGGAACAGGAAGGAAGGAGTTTTGAAGAAAGAAAAGAAAGAAGGAAGGAAGGAAGGAGAGAGAGAGAAAGGAAGAAAGGAAGAAGGAAAGGAAGAAATGAAGAGAAAGAGAAAGAAAAAGAAAGAAAGAAAGAAAGAAAGAAAGAAAGGAAG